ATCATTCGTTTTTAATGATCTCAATGAGGCGATCAGCCTTCAGGCAGATGCAGGGGGGAAGTTAAACATGATGAGCAGGAATACTGCCAAGTGGGTTGAGGAATATGATGATAATGGCATGTGGTGCCGTGATAGAGAAGTATCTGAACAAAACGACAATTTATATTATATTCTGAATGTGGTTGATAGGTGCGAGTTGTCCAATGGGTTTCGATTTATTAAAGAAATGCTATTGCAGTATCATAATTTTAAAATGCAATGCGCATATCAAAAATTGACAGAGAACAATGTTAAGGTATTGAGTGTCAAATGCGACGCTTTTGTCGTGGACTGTTCGGGTTTTAATAAGTTTGGTTTGAGAAAGACTCAGCAGTTGCTAGATTTTCACGATGGGATCGGTGGGTGGAAATTAGCCAAGACTCGCGATGAGATCCATCATACAGGAAAGCAGTTGTATGAACAGAAGAAGTGTGAATATGTTGATATCCCGATTGTCAAAAGTAAGAGAGTTAACATCATTAATGAGTATGATGAAAATGAATTGGTTGAACTTGTTGAGAAACATAGGTGCATCATGATCAAAGCCAGATTCGCAGGAGCGGGGAAGTCCACCATCTGCAAAAACATGGAGAGACTCAAGGGTTATAAAGTGTTGTTCGTGGTTCCTACCAATAATCTGGGTTTGGAGTGCGAAGTGGAAAGCATCACTGTAAATAAATTCTTCAGTATAGCAGTCAATGACGAGAAGCTAGATAAATACGATCATTCGATGTTTGATGTCATTGTGTTTGATGAGATTTGTTTTAATAATACCTTTGTATTGGCAAAAATCAAGGGCTTTGTAGAGCAACATATGGCTAACAAAATCATATTAGCTACTGGCGACGCCAAGCAATTGAGCCCCATAAAAGCACTGACTAACACTAAGAAACACGAGATTTATATGAATGAATGTATTGATAGCATTTTTCCCCATCATTTGTTTTTGGAAGAGTGCAAGCGATTGAAGACTCAGGAGGACAAGGATAAACTTAAAAGTATTTATGCCGACATCTTTGAGCATGAGTTGTCTCTACATGATGTCATCAATAAGTATTTTAAATATACTGATGACATCGCAGGAACAGAAAGCAATGTCGCATATTTAAATAACACTTGTAGAGAGGTTTCAAGGCAGATCAGGAAACGACAGGGCAAACAAAATGAGTTTGAAGTCGGCGAGATCATGATATGCAGAGAGTATAAGAAAACAAAAACCTATAAGTTAAATGTGAATTTTAGGTATGAGATAATTAATATTTCCGATCCTTGGATTACCATTGCTAATATCAAAACACGAGAAGAGATTACATTACATATTGGTATCTTGAGAAGTCATTTTATCTTTGCCTTCTGTTATACTTGTCATTCTGTTCAGGGGTGTTCCATTGATGACGATGTCGTGATATTTGATTGGAACCATCATCTGATAACTCGCGAGTGGCTTTGGACGGGAATCACACGAGCAAGGGATTTAAACAGAGTAAAATTTTACAAATACAGTAGTGATTTAAATGAAGAGTTTAACGCAAAATGCATTATGAATTATTTTGATAGAAAGGTGTTAGCATACAAGGAACAGGATCGTAAAAATGGCTTTGGTATTCCAAAAGAAAATTATGTAGATACCGAATGGTTGAAGGACAACGTCAATGGAAAGTGTGCAAATTGTGGCTGTGGCTTTGTGTTGTCCATGGATTCTGGTAATATAAATTCTAATCTGACTTGTCAAAGGTTATGTAATGATCTTCCCCATACAAAGGATAATGTCATTGCCTTCTGTGCTTCTTGTAATAGATGCTTCAGTGATAAAATAACATATTGATATTTTGATATTTATTTTATAGTATTATATATATGAGTGAAAAAGACAAGATAATCAGTGAGGTCTACTACGATCGGGCTGGGTTCGGTAGCGTTGCCGCCACTTATAAAGATTCAAAAAAGAAAGATGCATCCATAACAATGCAAGATGTCAAGGAGTGGTTTCAAGAGAACGTGGAACGGAAAAAACAACTGTCTGGATACAATTCGTTTATCGCCCCTGATATCAACTTTGAATATCAATTGGATCTGTTTTTTATATCAACAAATGATTTAGATAATCAAAAATATAGGATAGGCTTATTGCTTATTGATGTATTCTCTCGCAAAGCCGCGGTGGTGCCTATTGCATCCAAGCAACCTGCAGACATCACGGCTGGGATCATGGAGGCATTAAACAAAATGGGAGGGAAGCCCAAATTAATTTATTCGGATGACGAGGGGAGTCTCAATGCCCAAGATCTTGTTGATTTTTTCAAGGACGAAGGGATCCAAAACTATAAAACGCGAGGGCACCCCCATTTCGCCGAGCGTTTCATTCGCACGTTCAAGGACATGCTTTTCAAGAGGGTTGAGGCAGACGAGAAAAAGGGAAAGGTTAATATACAATGGGTTGATTACATTCTTGAGATCATGCTGACATACAACAGTAAAATGGTTCATTCTGCCCACGATATGACTCCAAACGATGCCCACAAAAAGGGAAACCATCTTGAGGTCAAGATGAAGCTTGAGATGAACAGAATCAAAACCCGTAAATATCCTCCTGTTAGGGTTGGCGATGAGGTCAAAATATACCGCAAAAAGGGGATTTCCGAGAAAGAAAGAACGAGCAACTGGAGCAGTGTCAAATACAAGGTTTCAAGGGTTGAAAAAAAACTTGGTCAAGATTATTATTCTGTTGAAGGGATGAACCGCCCCTACTTGAGGTCAGAGATTCTCAAAGTTTGAAAGGTCCTTGAACCATTGAATTAGTGCAAGGTTGTCCTTAGTAAGAGTGCAAGTTTTTTCTTGGAGGGGGGCAAGATTTTTCTTGCAGGCGTGCAAGGTTTTTCTTGCAGGGGTGCAAGGTTTTTTGAATGGTGTTTGTGATAATATTTGTCAATGTATGATATGTGATAATTGCAATAAAATTATAAACGAAATTGATGATATGAATAGCAAATATATTAATACTAGAAATGTTAAAAATATTGATGAAGATTTAGAAATAGTTGTGTTTATTAAAATGAATAAGTTCTTGACTGAAGAAGAGTTTGGAAATTTATTATATAAGGGCGATGAGGAAGGAAATGATAATGATTTTATTTTTAAGTATTATAATCTGGTAAACAGATTATATGGTATGTCTTTTAAAATTAGGCGTTTAATGAAAGAAGCATTGAATAATAATGACTTTTTTAAGTTGTGAGTATGATGTAGATGAACTTAGTTATACGGTAATAAGTGCAATTAGAACAATGGGCTTGTTTAAAAAGGAAATAGGAAATAATATATATAATGAAAAAACGACTGAGAAAATAATAAACAGAATTGAAGAATAATTTTATAATGAATTAGAATAAAGTTGAACTCATAATATAATTATAACATGTAAACATTTATATGTTATAATTATACTGTACTTTTCCCGTATAAGCCGTGGGGGTGCTTTCCTACATAGGCCTTTCCCATCCGCATTTTGCCATCCATATTTTACTGGGATTGTTTTCAAGATTTGGGTTAACGGTTTTAATTCTCCCTTTTCCATTGGTTAACCATTTTTCGGGGAGTGATAATTGACAATGTGTTATTTGGATGAACAAGGTTGGGTTTATTCATGTTTTAGGTATGTAATCTTGAAAGATCATTTAAGGAAATGTATTCATAACATAGTATGGAGAATTCAGAGTGTAGCAGTTGTAGAGTCAATAAACCAATTACTGAATTTAACGGGTTCAAGACATGTAATAAATGTAGAGCGAAGAAGCGAGAGAGGACAGCGAATAATGGATATTTGTATTGTCATGTTTGTGAAAGAAGAGTGAACCCAGAGATTTGGGATTTCCATTTGGTTGGAGGTTGCCACCAAGATAATATGCTCAAACACTTGAAAGCAGATTATCAGAGATTAGTTGAAGAAGCACCTACACAAGAATTCAAGGACAAATATTTTCAAGAAGGTCAAGAGAGGATACAAGAACTCAAAATGACAATGCCTTTGTATAATCCAGCTTTGAGAAGAAATAAAGTTGTTCAGGTTGATGGTGGTGAATTGGACTAAAAAATGAAGTTGATGATGAGAATACTGATTTTTCTCATGATTAACTTAGTAGGTGTTTCAATTTGGGGGTTGAAAATGGGGTGATTTGATAGGTGTATTTAAAAGGCGCTTGAAAGTGTGGGGAGGGGGGTAGGACAACGCGGACGGGAGAGGCTATCTCTAACTGTATCACCCCGCAGCCACTGCTTTCAGATGTTGGACATGGGGAAGAAAGCGGTTGCTGCGGGGTGCTGCTAGGTCCCGCCATAACTTGCCAGGTAGCACACCCCCTAAAAAAGGCGGCCAGCTGGGGTGCTGGGTGCTCAAATGACACCACACAAACTGGAAAGGATATTCAGCCACAGGCTCATCAACAGGGTTGTCCTAAAGTCACTGGCACAAGGGTATATCTGTAGAAACTTGGCCCCCTGGTAAAGGAAAACCAAACATACCAAGCCAATGGTCAGCCTTTGTGTTTTGAACAAGTTTTAACTTGGTTAACGGTTGGAAGGGGAGCAAAAACATAAATTTAGCAGTTGAGTGGTTGGATTTCCCACTAAACCACAATTAGCAAAAATGTAAAATGTGTCGCAACAACAACCATGGTAAAGGAAAACCAAACACACCAAGCCAATGGTCAACCTACCTTTGTGCTTTGAACATGTTTTAAGGGCTCGGAGCACCTCCAGGCAATCTTCCCAAAGAAGAACCCAGGGAAGGGCCAGCTTTTCCGATGGGCCCAGACGTGGTTGTAATGGAAGTCGCGCGAAAACAAAAACTATTTGAGACTTGGAGTACCCGTTTGTCGAACAACCACAACAAAACCGGAAAAAGCTTCTCATTTGCTGCAGGGGGCGGCACCTAAGGCGGCCGAGCGCTCCGAGCTCCGAGCTTCCTGCAAGAGCCGGAAGCGCTCAGCGTCGCCGCCCTTGTCCGGGTGCAGCTCCAAGGCGCGGCGCTTGAAGGCCTTCTTGATCTCTGCCTCATCACTTGGTTGACGTTGGAAGGGGAGCAACAAAAATAAATTTTAGCAGTTGAGTGGTTGGATTTCCCACTAAACCACAATTAGCAAAAATGCAAAATGTGTCCCAACGACAACCATGATCAGAGCATCGACGCCGTCGACTCCCCGCCGTTTCTGATCGAACTCTCCGCCTCATCAGGGGATTGGTCGACTCGACTTGACGCGGTCGCCTCCCCGCCCGCCGTTTCCGCGATGCGAATTTGGAGGCGACCGGGGGTCGACGCGGTTCGCCGTCGACTCGTTGCCGGTTTTTCCGTCGCCGCGAATTGGCATGAAGCGACCCGCAGCCATGCGACCCAGCCCACATGCTCGAATGATAATTTGGTAAGAGCGCGTGCAACCCACGCCTCCCTTTCAACGAAAGGCGAATGACCCTCCCGCATGACGCAAACACAGGGCAACGGCAAGTTGAGCTACAACACCAAATTCCCCTTGCGCAGGATGTGACCAAACAAATGAAGCGTCCAAGGACCCGACCCCAGGGTGTCTCCAAGCAAAAGCGGATCCATGGGCGAGTTCTCCCCTGAAAGTGTCACCTTTGGAGGTCTGAAGGAAATTGAAGGAAAAGGAACTCTCCAAGATGTTCTTGAAGCCTGAAGCCATGCGCCTCCATCAACTCCATTGCCTCACATGGACTCCAAAAAACCGGACCTCTCCAAAAGTGTTCCAGGAGTAGGGGCCTGCGGCCCCCACTGCCCTCCACCTCCCGAAAACCGCCCGCAGACGTGGACTCAACGACTCGACGGCTCGTCGTTGCCTGGCTGGCCGCTCCCTCTCCGGCCACCCCAAGGAAGGCCCAGGCGGCACGGCGCTCCATGGTCCTGAGAGACTCGGTCCCAGGGGCAATCCCAGGACCGCCCTTTTCTCGTTCTGCCTTCGTCAGGGTTCTGGGAAATGGAAATGACCACTTCTGTGATACAACGAAAAGGGCCTAACCCCAAAGACTAACACCCCACAAGGGGGAGATTCCCAAAAGTATCACAGAAGTGGTTAAAAAAAACCTTGCGATCCCACAACCCTGGGGCCTTCATTGACTCACAAAAGCTGAGGCGGGGTGACCAGCTGAGGGAATCACGTGGTCATGTGCTTCTTTTTTTGCTTGAAGCCGAGCAGATCGGGTTGATCAATCTTCTCTTGGCGCCCCCAAATGAGCGACGATGTGAGCGTTTCCCATTTTTTGGGACATATCTTTTTGTAGTGGCGCCCTCCAGGGTCATCCCATGTAAAAAAGCTTCTGATCAACCCCCACATGGAAAACCGAAGAAATGCTTCCATTTGGTTAAGACCCCTGGAAAGAATAAACATATGTCCAGTTGTGAAATCGATTCCCTTTAAAACCAACAGGGGAGAATAAATAAAATATAATATTCATTTCAGCAAATGGAAGAAGGTGAGTGATCCCCCCATCTCTTGCCACGGCTCTTCAGGCGACCTGAGGCCTTCTCCCTCCAGTCTTGCAGCGCCAGGACTTCCTGACCAAAGCGACCAAAACGGTTTGGATGTGGGGAATCTGTGGATCCACCCCTCCAGAAATGGCGATGGGCCAAAAGCCCGTACCCCCAGTGAACATCCCAATCCCCACTAAAATAGACTAAAATGGGTGGTACACCTGCCCCAAAATGGTACCATTGGTTTTACCCACAGCCAAATATGAAAAACAAGTGCTAAAAGAGAACTGAAAAAGAAGCAACAGGCGAAGACAAGGTGAAATCCGAGAAAAATAAGAAGAAAAAAAACGAATCCAAACCGTTTTCTGAAATGTTGTGGTAAAACGACGACCCTCCGGGAAAAATGGGGGGAGGGGGGGGGGGGGATACTATCCAGATACCACTACGAGTTAACTACCACACAAGATAACTACCACACAAAATAACTACCACACAAAGGGTATGTATCCGTTTTTTATTACTTTTCTGGGGGTAGTTTCGGGGTAGTGGAAGCCAGTTCATCTGGCGCTTGAGCCTGTTTAGAGAAAAACCCGACCAACATGAAAGGGATCGAGCGGATGTTGCTGAACATCTCGGGGGCAAAAACGAGGAACCCATTCCCCGCAAACCCAGGAAGGGTTCAGAAAGAATCTTTCGGGTCTCGCGCGAAAAGTTCTGAGAGCCTGTTGCTCTTTCTCTTTTTGTCCATTTTTTTTTGGGGGGTTGGGGAGGGGGGGGTCAGGAAGTCCAGGGAAATCCAGGAAGCCGCCATGTGTCTCCTAAACCGAGCCTTTCGAGCTTTTCGACTGTCATATATCCCAGGGTATGGTCTCTCTTCTTGAGGTACCCTTTGTCCCGACTCCAAACTCTCAAGGGGTGAACAGCTTCAACAAACGAAAGTGGGACATGAGCCGAATCAGCGATACCAAGGTGGGCGATGCGGGAGCGACTACTTGTCACTTGAAAAGGAGGTTGTTCCATTCGTATCCCAGAAATTGGCCCGCCCTCAAACCCTATCTCCCACAAGCGTGCTCCTGAACCTTTGATGAATCGCTAGGGGGTTCAACGAGCGCCAGACTTGGGCTAGCGCTTGCCCATGTTCTCTCTGGTGTTGGACCCCAACCACCTTTGAAATCTATTGGATCCCCAACCTCCAACCCCTGGGTTTTAAGCCACCTTTGAAGTAAGCGGTTTGCAGCAGTCAAAGCCGAATTGGTCTTCAGCGTGGAACGGTCGCCGAATCCTTGGGACTTGTGCAGGGGCCCTGCTGGGTTCTCAGGAAAAAACAGAAATCAACGATGCTACACAAATTATTGTTCTCTAGTGCAAGCTGATTTTATTGCAAAACGTTTAGAGCCCCCTCATTATGAGTCAACCGTGGAATGCGATGGTTTGCTTCGCTCGCCCGTTTGTGCAAACCCATTTGTGTACTTAAGGTCTTGCTGCTTCTCCCACCCTTCCCCTGAAAGAAGTACATGTGAGATATCCCTAATAACCAAGCAACTGAAAGAGATATTGCACGTTGGATGATCAAAAGATGACGGCCTAGTTGCACCCAAGGGTGATCAGCCCCAAACCTCCATTCTGGGGGCCAAACCGGCAGGTACTGCCGTCCCACTGGAAAAGATGGCTACCATGGACCATGTATGTACCCCCAAGATAGGCCTGAGGAAGGACTCAACTCCCTGGACAGCTTGCTGGACATGGTTGAACAAGTAGAACCGCAGGCTACCTCTCTTGGAGTAATTGGCGTAAACCCAAACGCCTCGTCTAGCTATGTGAAAACAAAACAAAATCAATGTTGCAAGACTCCTTAAGAATTCTTTGATTCTTGAGGCTGCCAAGGCTCTCAAAGTGTTGCTTCCTACCAGGGACCTTCCGGCTAATTCAGTTGTTCAGTGACCCTGGAAGAAAAGGGCACCCTTTTTGGGGGAAGACCATATTTTTAGTGGGCCCTTACAAAAAAGTTGGAAAAACAAAATCGGTGCCACTGAACTGAGTTCACACCACTTCCCCCCTCCCCAGGACTCGACTCCGCGCGCTCCGCGCGCTCGCCTCCCGGAGCTCGTCGTTGCCCAGGCCCCGCAGCCGTTGCTCCATGCCAACGCGCCCGGCCACCAGCTCCCGCATCAGCCGCCCCGGGTCGATGGGCCCAAACCTCGATACGGCTTCGAAATCGCGGCGTCGCGTCGGGTTTCTCGAGGCGAAGCTCGCTTGGGGCGGTGGGCGGGTGGGTTCCCGCCTTCGAAATCGCCCGCGGTTTTGAGGCGAGGTCAGCCACTCGGAGTACAAAAGGCGGCATTTGCTTCAGGAAACCAGGATGTGCAACATATACTAATACCCTGAAAAACAAAGGTGATTGGAAAAGAAGGCTTAGTGTGCAAACAGAACAACCCACTATTTAAGACTCAGGCACGTGCACCCGCGATCACCCGTGTCCTGGATGTTACTGTAGCAAATAGGGAGGACCCGGCTTGCGCGAAGGCTTCAAAACAGATCTTGTCTTTGGGCCCAAAGTTCCTCGTTCGCACTCAGCTCGAGGGCAACCCAGGGACCGACTGGCCGACCCAGTCGGGTCCCCGTTTGGCATGGGCGTTTGCACTCTCAAAGCCCCAAGACACCTCCCACACCGGCACAAAGATCCCAAGCTGATCCACATTTAGGGTTTGCCCGTTTGGGCGCCCAAAGAAGGGCCAGGCTTTTTGTGCGGTTGAGGTGGAAGGGCAGCCAACCTACCACAACCTACCACTGACCTGCTCAGATCATTGGCCAGATGACGGTTACAACTTTGTGGACATGTACACAAAAATAACGTCTGACCCCAGAATCATCAACCTGGTGGATTATTGGGGTGTCCCCCAAAAAAGTGTTCCGGATTTCTCCATCAATGGAGCATTCTGGGTCAAAATAGTTTTGTAGGTGAGTCTGACTGAAAATAGATGGTTTCCTCTGGTTTCAGGTTTGTTCTGATAACCCGCCCATCTGTTTTTGGAATCTGTGAGTGGGGGGTGGCAGGGTGTCCAAAAGGCTCCCAAGAAGAAACCCCCTGAAACCTGGAGACTCTGAAAAAAAAACTCTCAGCTCACCCGGGATTCCAGAATCCTTCAGTTGGACTTGGTCCGTTCCCCCCATGTTACGATGGTTGGATAAGTGTTTGGAGCCTTTGCCACAAGTGTCCCAAGAGGGATTGAGGGCAGTCCCCGAGGCTCCCGAAAGGTCCCTAAAAAAACTCAAGGGAACCCCAAAACCCGCAGGAGCTTGCCCAGCCCCGGTGTATATCCTCCGGACAAATTCCACAACCCATTTGAAGTGAGCCAACTTTTAGTGGTTTAATACGGAAAACCAGTTGGTTTGCAAAAAGTTGAAGTCCTAACATCCCTTGGCAAAATGCAACAAACATAAATTTGTGTTTTTTTTGTTTGTAGGGTTTCTCTTTGGTGGACATCAGTTGCCAGCTTCGTTGTAGATTCCTTGATCTTTTTGTTGGGTTTTTCTTGAGCGCCAGGGAGCTTCAGCTCCAGGTCCAAGCGATCCATCAAGCCCCCGCGAGCGGCGCGCTTGGGGTGGGACCCGTACTCCAAGCTCTGCTGCACACCGATCCCGGACACCCTCCTCAAAAAAAGACAACACAAAGGAACAAAACTCAAAAAAAAAAACAAAGACGGCGTGCCTCGTGTTTGGCTTCTCAAACTGACCAGCGCCAAAAAAAAGAGAAAAATACGTGCCAATTGTTTGGTTTCTCAAAATGCCCGGTGCTTCCAGTTACCTCCATGGTACAAGGAGAAACCATGATGTAGAATCCTCGAGGCAGCCCTACCTGGTTCCCTACTGGAAGCACTCCATTTTTGAAGTTGTTCCCCCATTGAAATGCATGGCCAAATATGGTTTCGTCCCCTAAACTGGCTGGCTTCCTTTTTGTCGCCCTTTATAGGGGTCCACCATCTTGAAGCAAAACCCAATGTGGATTCTGGGCGCTGCCTTGGTCAGAGTTGGACTAGACCCCCTGTTGCTGGAAAGGGAAACTGAGGAACGCCGAAAGGGCAAAGGGAAAAAGGTCGGCCCAAGGCTGGAAAGATGGCATCTCTTGCCCGCTTAGGGAATGGTTTAGAAGGCAACCAATTGCATGTCGACCGATTCCGGGTCACTGTTGCCGCCCAGTGGCTCCCAGGCAAGACACTCGTAATGCCTTATGGAATTCGTCGTAATGATTGGAGCACCCAAGGTGGAATTCCATTTCCTTGAGTCGCCTCGGAAACTCCACGTTTCAGCAAAGGCCAAATGGACAGCCTGAAGTTCTCCGTGAGAGGGCTTGAGCCCTGGGCTCTTTGAGCTGGCGCCGCCCTATTCGCCAGCTTCTGTAAAAGTCCCGTTCATCATGGGTTGCGTGGGTTCTTAGCCGCCGGGGCGTAGCTTAAAAGGGGAGGAAGTTTAAGGTATAAGGAATTTACTCTCTTTCTCTTGGTCTTTCCTCTCTACCTTCTGTATCTCTCTCACTTTCACTTTCACTTTCACTTTCACTTGCTCTCTTTCTCTCTCTCTCACTTTTGTCTTTTTCTTATTATTCTTTCTCGTTCTCTTCCTCTTTCTGTACATAACGCTAGCTAACGCTGCGAAAGCGCTGCGCCTGCCACTATAGTCTGCTCGTGACACTGTGAAAGCCTGCCCCAAAATCCAAAAACGGACGTTCCAGCACCAAAGTGCTGCGCCTGCCACGAGATCTGAGAGCAAAAACCCAACGTCAAAGCGCCGCGACGGCCCCGCAGTCCGCACCTCAGTTTGCCCAAGCGCTGCGCCTGCCACACAAACTGATGTTGCGAAAAGCGCGACCAATGGGCGCAGGTCCGAGACTGTCCCGAGACCGTTCCGACAGGCGCCGTGACCGGGGTAGCTTTCAGCCAGCCGGTCGCGCCACAATACCCGCAGAGAGTTGCTCCATTTGCCTTCTTCTAATCCCGCGCTACGGCCCACGCATGTTTCCTGGCATGCGTTTATTGTTAGTCCTCTTATCTTTCCACAGGGATACCTTTAAGTCGTGCCCATAAAACAGAAGCCCCCCCTGCAGGTGAAAGTGGGGTCAAAGCGCCCCGCGAATCGAATGTTGCGACTCCAGTCCCGAGCATAGGCAGCACCACCACCCCAGGGCCGAAGAGGGTCACAGCCTGCGCCAGCGTGGGCTGATGCCATCTACTTTCAAAACTGAGAAATTTGCTGCGATCATGACTGGCTTTTGGTGTTGCAGTACTCTAGTACCCGACCTGCAAATGAGAACAGCCTCACCCTCAAATGATTTTTTGTTCCGGAAACACATGAGTCATCCAAACTTGGTATTAAAATGGTGTACCCAGAACCACGCAAAGAATTAAAAACGCGGCTGCACCTGATTGGGACTATCCCTTACTCACTGATTGCAGCTGAGTCCAAACACTCGTTGGCACCCGGGTGCACTCGGCACTCGGCCGGTCCATTCGCCTTGGCCAGCTCATGCGGCGCGTGCCAAATCAGCTGGTCGATGGATCGGCTGGCCACTTGGCAAGCGGCATCCAAGGCATCCTCAGCTCGACTGCCCGTTTTCAGCTCCCCTGCTAAAAGCGACTAACTTTTAGTGGGTTAAATTCGAGCTAAGGAACCGGATGGCTGGGAGCCACCAAGTTTAGATTTATCCTCCTACTCCAATTACAGATTGTGAGTTTTTTTTTCCCCAAATCTAACTGCAGGAAGCCAGAAGGTTCCGCGGAGCTTGGTAACAAAGTACCTGCTTTGCCAAGAAAATGATGTCCAACCATTCAGGTGTTCCCCACTCCAAGTCATAGCCATCTTCCGGGCGAGAAATACTGCGGTGATCTCTCTTGTCGACAGACCAATCAACTTGCCCAGATTCACAGCGGGATTCTACCCGAACAGTGATCTGGATCCTTGCCAAAATGAGAAATCAACGTGGGCTTTG